AAAAGCGCTTGAAAGTAGGCTCCTCTACATTCTAATACTTAATGGAATCAAATTATATCACATTAAAATGTTATTAGTTTGAAATATATTAATGCAAGTCTAGGCTGGCGCATAAATATTTAAAGCTCACATCACACAGAAATATCAGAAGAAAAAGGATGGGAAGAGTTAACAGTTCGTTGTGTAAATATTGCTAGAAATAAAGCACCTATATGTAAACGTTCTTTAGCAACATATGGTTTTATTACTTACAAATTATGGCATTGTTAAATTTAAAAGAAATAAACTGATTTACACTTGTGTTCAATGTTAAACAATCAGAGTGCCAGCACATTTTTTTTATTGCTTCGTTTTGGATTCTTAGGTAATAGTGGATTGCTGGGACATGTTGGCAAATTTTAAATGTAACTGAATGCCTGTTTTCTATATTCATATATTTTGGGTGTAACTCCAGGAGAATGAATTTTATCTCAAAATTCTTCAAGAGTTGCCTTCAAATCATCTCTGTGCATATGTATACGGCATACACTTCTGCCATGTATACCTGTGCGCTGGAAACCTGTCTGGAAGTGAACTGAATTACTGGATTTGAGTTGAAATGAACCCATCCAAACAACCCAGGTCTGCGCTCTATGAGGCTTCTTTCAATAACACCTTTAATTAAAGTGAAAAAGGCAGTTAAGTAAAACGACAATAGGAATAATCCACCAGGAGCACCAGGTTCCCAGAACACAGCCCCATGGTATTTTCCAGCGGTACACGAGTATTTCTGGGTGGCGAGCTGCTAGCACATGGTGCCCCAACAAGCCAGTAACCAGTGCTCGAAGCCCTATATGCACAGAGGACTCTGCTGGCAGCAGAAATGGGTACTTTGACCCAAATCATCCCTTAGCCCCTTTGTGCCGCGGGCGCCACTTGAAAACCTGGGGCGGCGACCAGCCGGCGTTTTGCGCTTTTTGCGCTTTGCGCTGGGAGAGACGTGAGTGGAGAGGCGCCCCCATCCACTCGGGCGCCATCCCTAAGCAAGCCCCAAGCTTGTACCGAGAGGGACCTTCTCGCCGAGACTTGACTTCCACCCTCAATCCTGACACCAACTATGCCTGGCAAACAAAGTGGGGCGGGGCGGGGCTGGGCTTTAGGGGTGCCGCCTGCCCAAGGTGCTGTGCCACGTGCGCATTCACTGCGCGGACCCCGAATCTTGTGAGTCCAGCTGCGGCCTCAGCGGCTCCCAGAATTGGGCTCCCAGCTTTAGGGCGGGGCCTCCTTCCTGGACATCAGCTCCCACCCACTCACAGCCCTGAGCCCAAAGGCCAGGGTCGTTCACCTAGGCTTCTCCCAGGGCTCGCAGAGAGGGAGGCCCTGCGGCGGACCGCGGTGGCCCAACCTTTGCTGGATTCCGGGATGGGGCAGGGGTGGGGGGCAGGGGTAGGGCGCCTGGCTGGAACTGGCCCGAGTCCCGGCTCCATAAGTCCTGGAGTCCTCGGGTGTCTCCTGGCCGAATTGAAGAGCCCGACCTAGGCATCCCGCTTCGCGACGTCGGCCTCCCCCTCCCTAGATTGCAGCGTCCTAGTGCTGGAGGGAAGCTCGCTTCGTGCCTAGGCCAACCCCTTCTGTGATTCTTTTATTTTCCTGTCACTCTGTTCTCGGTTTCTGCTTTCTCCCGCTCAGAGAACGCCAGTGCGCGCAGGGGGGTGGGAGCAGAGGAGCCTCCGCACCAGCCCCTTTCCTGTGCCTCCCGTCTGCCTTTCCCCACAGTGTAGTCTCCCTCTCTCCATATTTTTTTCCGCTGTAGATTCTCTCCGCATTCCCTTGCCGGTTTAGCCAGCTTGTCTCTCTGCCTCTAAATTTGCCTCTCCTTTTCTCCCTGGCGCAGCATTAAATCCTCATGCATTGAGGTTGAGTTCCGGCAAGGATGCCTTTTCTGTCCTTGGAACATTTCCGGGTACTATAGTTTGGCTTTCCCTTGAGGTGGTGCCAGCGCTGGTTCCGCCATGCAGGCCGCTGCTACCAAGGCGGGGCTCTCTCTCGTTCTCTAGCTGTGTATGTCTATGTTCGAGTGTGGATTTATCTGTTTGTGGTTGCAAAGCAGGGCAGGATCTCCAAACCGAAAGCTGAGAGGAGTTGGTTTCTAGAATCCTAGGGCTGCGTGCTGACAAGTGAAATGGGAGGTTTTTCGGGGGTCCAGACGCCGATCTGCTTCCAGACTCCCTTGCCCAGTGTCTCTAGGACCACAGCATCAATTCCGTGTGCTCCGAAGAGGTTTGCCACCTGCTCCGCGGCGAGGAGCCGGCCCTCGGTCTAATGCTTCGGAAGTCGGTGAGGTCCGGAGCACACTGGCCAGGCGCAAGAGGAGATGGGCCCACCGCAGACAGGGTGGGCAATATGAGGGCGGCTGGGCCTCAGCACCCCGCGAGGGGGGAGCGGGCTCTGTGAATTTTGTCCTGGGCTACTGGTGCCACACCACCCGAGCAGGGTTATAACTAGGGGCGGGCGCCCCGTCGGGAATGCAAAACTGTTTTGCCTTGGTCTGGACCGCGCAGAGTAGGACGGAACGGTGGTGGTGGTGGTGGTGGTGGTGGGAGGGGGGGTTCAAGTATTTCGGAACCCGGCGAACACATCATTCGTGATGCTTGGCCTAATCTTTTGCCCTTCCTGGGTGCGGACAGGAACGGAGTAGTGGCCGGTGTCCCCTCCCTAATCCAAAAGCCGCACAAATCCAAAACACACACGCAAACCTCACCAAGGCACTCCGCAAACACAAAACTAAAGCCAACACCCGAAATAATAAACCCAAATCCCCATCCAAAAGCACAGCTCATAAAAACAAAATCAAAATAGAAGAAAACAAAACACATACACAAAATTCACCTAACACAAAACACTCAAACGCACCCACTAATATAAAATCAAAGCACATCAAAGCACCACGCATAAGGAACGGACTTCAAACGACACACAAAAAGACAACCTACCAGAACAAAGTATAAAACAAACACAAAATCAAAACCCAGTCAAAAGATCAAGACTCACACAGCAAAACCCGCAAAAATGAAATCCACCAAAAAACAACACGCAAAACACCGAAATAAAAGACTCATAAATAATTTTTAAAAACTCACAGAAAACAAAACCAAACAAACCCTCAAAATAGTAAAACAAAACAAAACAAAACCCAACCGACTTCCGCCCCCATTCCGGGGTGAAATGTCAATTACTGGAGGGCATTGATCTCTAGGTGCCGACAGGCCTCTCTTCCTGGGCGCAGCCTCCCAGCGCGGGCTAAGCCGGAGGGCGGGAAGCAGGGGCTGCGGAGGGGAAGAGTCGAGCGCTCTGAAATGGCCAAAAATCAAATCTCCGGGCAGGGACCCCGACCCGCAGGCTGCAGAAAGGAGGCGGCGCAGGGGAACTGCGCAGACTACTTGGTGGGGGGGCCGCCCGGGAATCCACAGCCAGGTTTCCGATTGTGGCGAAATCCGCTCAGTGGATAAGCGATGTCCGGTTCCCGCCGCGCCCCCCACCCTTTTCCTCGAGCGCTGGGCTCTTCCCCCTAGGTTGCGGCCCAGCCTCGTGACCACCCCCTCCAAAAAACAAACAACACCCTCGCTGAGGATGATTCACTTTCTGAAACTGCCATTGTCCGGCGGGCCAAGAGTCCTCTTGTGGAGCCCTCCCCCGCCCTGGAGAACCATGCCCCTTCGACCACCCTGCAGCGGGGCCCCACCAGCTTCCAGTGGCCAAGCCGAGCAGCTGAACTCGGGACTGGGGAGGGGTAAGGGGAGGGAAATCTTGAGCCTGGACCGAAGAGAGCGGGCTGGACATGCCACACCTCTCTGCCCAGTCTCTCTCGGGCTGATTTCCCTTCTGGAATCAAGTCCAGGGGCTCCGGGACGCCGCAACGTCTCGGGGCTTGAGGGCAAAGGGATTCCATTTATGGGCCAGAGTAAGGTGACCGGGACTCCGGCCAATCTCCAGGATCTCCTGAGATGGTTCTGCTCAGCCCGGTGCTCCAAAGCCGAGGCCCGGATTTTGTCTCCAGCATTTCACAATTTAACCTCTGTGCTTCGGGCCAGAATGAGACATGGTGTGGGGAGAACTGCGACCAGAGGGCTGAGTGGGACCTGGGGGCTCCAGGCTTCTGGCACCGCTCTAGAGTTAGGGACCCAGCAATAGTATTAAAGCTTAAAATTGGGGTGGGGGTGGGGTAGCTGGGAGCTCTGGGGGCGGGCGCCGCCCTAGGGGTGAATCTGAGGAAACTGGCAACATCTCTTGCCTTTGCATTCCTTTGAAAAGCACCTGTTTGGCAGATTGGTTAATTTCTTTAAAAACAAAAACCCGGTCTGCACCCGCCTACGCAGCGGGGTTTATACCTAGAGGGGTCACCGGCCTCGCGCACCTAGGAGAGTGCCACAACACCAAGACGCAGGGATTTGTGGAAGGTGCTGCCACGAGGCCCGGGCTCCAGGCTCGTCTTTGGTCGGCCCCTTCCCGTAAGTGCGCGGGCTAGCTCCCGGCTGTCTGAAGCCTTCCTTCCCTCCCCCCAACAACCCCCTATAAAAGTCCAAGGCGGTGCGGCGGCGACACTGCTGCTCTCCCGGCCTCCGGCACTGCTCCGGCCCGGCCCGGCCCGGCCCGGCCCGGCCCGCCCCGTCTGGCCAGCTGAGCAGGCCCTGCCGCACAGCGCGGATACCCTTGCCCCGCTCTGGGCTGGCAGTGCGGGGCCGCACGCTGGGGGCGCGGCGTGTCTGGGGACATCTTGTGATGTTGGCGAGAACAGGACATGATCTCACATGGCGAGAAGCTCTTTAGTTCCTTAATCATTTCACGGTGCCTTCGGACGCTTTTTTTCCACCTAAAACGTTTAGTTTCAGCTCAGTGATCAGCTGCCCCAGCTCGGCGGGGGAGCGGAAGGCTTGAATTATTCCGACCTGTGAGCGGCCCCTGACACCAGAAAAAAAAAAAAAAAAAAAAAAGCAGCACAAAAAAAGTGGAAACTTTTTCCCCCCTGTCCATTCCATCAAGTTCTGAAAAATCAAAATGGATTTAGAGAAAAATTACCCAACTCCTCGGACCGGCAGGACAGGTAGGACCGCGATACCGGCTCCAGACGCGCTAACTCGGAGACCCAGCCCTGCGCTGGTCCTCACGCGCATCGGCCCTGGGGGAGGGGGTGAGCTTCATTTTCGCCGGGACTGACTGCCTGTCTGGCGTGGTGTGGCGCATTTGTGTGTCTTTTCACTAATCTATTCACGGACTTTTACATCAGTCCAAGTGTCAGAGAGTTTGCCTATTTTTTCCTCTGTTTCTGAATGTTGATGTAGGTGTCTATCTAGGGGTCTAAAAGTTTGTTTGGGTCTGTGTGTTTACATAAGGGTTCAGAGTGTGCATGAGTGACAGTGAGTTTGTGTGTCCTTGTATACTCTATTTTCAAATGTGTGGGTGTGTGTCCAAGACTTGATATGCCTGTGTGTCTTTATATTCATGAATGTGCTAGTCTGTGTTTATGAGTTGGTGTTCCTGGGTACTGTTCTTTTGTATCTAAAATGTGGGTCATATATATAATTTGCTAAGTGCCTGAGTATATCTACTCTTTTAAGGATCTATGTTCATCTGTCATATCCCAAGTAATTTTGGAATTGAGAAAGATGTGTACATGTGAACAGCTGTTCACTGTGTACATGCCAATATACACAAAAGTGTCAGCTTCTAGGCACAGAGATGAGTCTAGGGCCTGTGAGGGTCTGCTGTGCTAAGCCTGTTAGGCTCAGGTCCCATTCTATTAGCAGAACCAGGAGTGGAGGTGTGAATTCAGGGTGTGTGTGCAGAACCTCAGTGTGTTGTATGTGCTGCTTCTCCCTGTGGGCACTGTTGAGCCTACCATTCATATAAAAGGGCCTCCAGTGGCAGGCACAGCCTTAGCAGGTGAGAGCAGACAAGCCTATAGGCTGGTTGAGACATTTCTATGGACCCCCAGCCTGCCTTTGCTTTCTCTTAGACAAGATTCTGACACTGGTGTGTGTGTGTGTGTGTGTGTGTTTACTGTGTGCTCAGGTTTCATCTTGTCGGTGCACCTCCAGTGGAGAAGAGCACAAGTGGGGTGGACATATGTACCTCACCTAGGCATCCAGTTCTGGTTCCTGTATGCACACTGGCCTTTCCTGCACAGAACCAGGTGTGCCTCCCACAGGTCCAGGCAGTGAGTAGCAAGGTGTGTTTATATCTGAGCGGAGGTGGCAGGCAGCAGGAAGACTCTGTTTGCCCTGAGGTAAAAGCTGGGTATAGGAGCCTCTTTTACTCCTTAGGCCAAGTGTGCCAACACACACCCAAACACACTCCTGGCCCTGGCAAGAACTCCCTTTTCCCTATTCCTGTGGATCTGTGAGACCCCCATCTGTACCTCAGCCCTAAATATAGGCCAGACAGCAGAAAGAGAGGGTTGAACTTATACCCCAAACCCAGGACAATTCCTGGGGCTTAGATGTGTTAGGTTAGAAATCAAAGAGGCAGAATTGAAGAGGATTCCCTAGGTTGAGAGTGCAAGAAGGGGAACCTGCAAACTTCCTCTGCTCCATCCCCACTCTTCCTTCTCTTCCCCAGTAGGTCCCTTAGTAGGTGGGACTTGCAGAGGTGCCTGTGCTGGGCCTAGGGTTTGTGTTTGTGTTGGGAATGGGTTAGATGCTGTGAGGGTTCAGGGGAGGGTCTGCATGGCTGCCCCCCCCCCCCCCCCGCCTTTCCCGACTAGCTGTCTACAAAGAATGTAATTCATGGTGGTCGATGGGCTCTTTGATTAGTTCAATTGCCTGAATAATCGTTTAATCAATAAAGCATTTCATTCCTCCGTGAGATGGACCTGGGTGGGGCTCAGGGGTGGGGCTAGGCTGGCCAGAGTTAAAAAATCTGAAGAGCCACGCCCCCTCTTCTTGACTGGTTGGGACAAGGGCTGCTTGCCTAGGTAACTGGGAACATCTCAGGTGACACTGCACTTCCGCCTGTCTGCCCCAGCCTGGGCCCCAGCTAGGGAAGAGGAGAGCCAAGACGCTGGACAGGCTGGTGGTATCCAGGTCTTGTTTTTGGGGTTTTGTGTGGACTTCTTCCCTCTCCTAATTTTGAGGCCTTTTATGGGCCTCTTGACCTCCCTTTCCTTTCTTCAGAAGTGTATTCCATTCTGTCTCTTGACCTCAGTTTCCCCATCTGTACAATGGGGAAGGAGTCTATGCCCTTCTAGCTTTAAGCCCAAGATTGGGCGAGGTCAGCCCTGAGCAGGTAGCCACTTAAAAATTTTTTGTCTAGTTTTTTCCTTGTGGTACCAAAAAAGAAACACTGAGGTCCCCAGAGGAGCAGGGACTTGTGGGGAACTCTGCCCTTAGACCTCTCATTCCTTCTGGGAGAGGAGATAGAATCCCACCCCCACCCCTTCATAGGCATCCTTGGAGAAAAACTTCAACTGAGTGAGCTAGCTGCTGTGTGTTAGGGCTGCCCAAGGCCAGGGAGACCAGGATAGGCTGAACACTGTCTGACCAGTCAATGGCATCCAGACCCCCAGCTCTATAATGAGCGTGGTGGAATGATGACAGTATTCTCTGCTCATGGATCTTCATCTTTCAGAACTTTGAGAGGCCTCATCTCAGGGGTCCTTCTCCCTATCAGACACACGAGGAAGCTGAGCCCTGGGAGAAGGGCTCCACTGCCTAAGTCTTTAGAGAGAGAGAGAGGTAGTCCCAAAGGTGCCAGGTAGCCCCTGGCCTTTGGGGTGCACTGGTAATGAAAACAAACCCTGACAAAGACAATTGATATGGTTCTTGAAAAATCTGGTTAAATCTTCCCCTTTTTTTCACCTACTTCAATGATTCCTACAGACAGATCTGGGCCAGGCAGAGCAGAACCCTGATCCAGGAGCAGGAATCAGCTCTGACCCCACTAGCTGTGTAACCTTCTGGTCAGTTGCTTCTCTCTTTGATGTTTTTAAAATGGGGATTAGAGAGGACCCATCAAGTTAGGACAGCGAAGGCCCTGTCATCTCTGACTTTCCTGAACTGAGCAACCAGTCTGAGCCTCCTGGGCTTCGCTATGCCAGAAGCAAGAGCAGGGAAGTAGGCTGGACTTGGGCTTCGGGAGTCAATCTCAGGCCCACAGAGCGCTGTAGCAGCCCCAAACCCCTGACGCCCAGGGGCGCTGAAGGGGCTGGCAGTGTGGGAGAGAGAAGGGAAGTGGGAGGTAATGTTTTGACTGAGGCTGAAGTGGACATTTCTCTGAAGGTGTTTTAGCTTCTCAAACATTCTCAGTAGGCTTTCCTTCAATAGCAAAACTTTTAAAGGCAATTCGATTTACATAAATTGGGTTTCTTCCCGGAAAATGGAAGGTTTCGTTCCCCGGTCTTCTTCTTCCAGCGTTTAGCACAGGGCCCGGCCAAAAGTCCTGCTGCCCGGGGAACCGAACTACAAGACTGTTGCGCAGAGCGAGGCCCGACCGTTTTCGGCGCGCCGGCGTCAAAACCAATTCCCTGCTCGTTTCTTTCCTGGACCCAGACTCGTGGACTCGTGAGTTTACGAAGGGCCAGAATAAGGAGCGAAGTCCTTCATGGCCATGGAATCGCTGTGTAAACTGGGAGTAGTCTTGCAACTTCTCTGGGCTGTCGTTCGGTGACTTGGAAGGTTGGGGGAGATGGATAGGATATTAGGTCTGGTGGCGCCTCTTGGCGTTAGAAGTTCCCGGAGGCCGATCCACTCTGGAGGTGGTGAATTATCCCCGACCCAGAGGGAGGGTCCCTCTGACCAGCGCAGCGCACGGTGCGGTAGGGGGCTGCTCTCGCTGAAGAGGTTAGGCATCCTAACACCGTCCGGAAGCAGTACACTTTCTGTGTGAAATGGGAATCTGAGCTATTTCTGTTCCGGTAACATCTGCCGTTCCATCCCACTCCGGCAACGCTCCAGGGACTCTGTTCAAGCCTCCCAGGTATGGGAAGGAAACCCGTTTGCGCAGGCATGTCCTGGCTGGGTTCTTTAATTTGGTATTGTATCTCGACCCCCACCTCCCCACCCCCGTCCCCAAACGCCCCGCCATTCCGAGAGTGGCTCTGGAGTGACCCTTCTGAGAAAAAACTTCCCGGCTCACAGCCTTTCCTCTAGTCCGGACTTGGTATGTGACCTTGGACAAGTCGCAACCCTCCCCAGCCTCAGGTTCCGCATCTGTAAAATGGGGAAAGTTTAGCCTCAGGGCCCTATTAGCTCGAACACTTTTAAGATCTGAATTTCCAGGCCTGAACTACATGAGCGGGGCTGGAGGTGGAGATGTCACTTGCTGTATCCCTCAAGGCGTCCCCACCCCGCCTCTCTTATAACGCAGAGTCTTTTGTCGAAATCTAGTCACTTTCGATCCACCGTGTGCCACTGATGGAGCGAAAGCGGGAACCCTAATTCATCCTGTCCTCTCTTAGCTGTTGCGACCTTCCTGCTCCAAGGCGGGTGTGTGTGCGTGTGTGTGTGTGTGTCTGCGTGCGTGTGTGAAAATTCAGACAGGCAGGGGTCCAAACAAAGAACAGATAACGCCACCACCCCACCTCAGTGCACACTGAAGTCTCCTGAGCCCCCAGAAGCTCGCCTGAGGCCGTTTTCTGCAGCTGTGCCCTGGAGGGGGTGGGGACGGGTCAACGCCGGAAACTTAACTACCGTTCAGGGGCAGCTGGGTCTGGGACAGGAACAGAAGGTGGGTTGGAGGACCGATACAGTGTAAGGGTGTGAGAAATTGATAGAGGAGAAACTGAATGACCTGGAATCTTCTCAGGGTCAACATGTGCTCTGTCCTCCTTATAAGTCCAGGTCTAGAGCGGGCATCTCAGAACCCTTGTTTTGGTGGGTTTATGTTTAATATTAGAGGATCATTGCTTATTAATTCGAAATGATGGGACTTGGGACCACTCCCATGAAGTGCTGGGGCAGGAGAGTCTTCAGTGTTTCTGCCAGGACCCTGGCAGACATAATCGCTCACAGAACTGTTGCCTCCTGGGTATAGATAGACAGGCTGTCACATGCTTCCTTTTCAAAGACCAGTTCCTTTGATTGTGGTCCCAGGTTCGCACACCCCCTT